GTGAATCAAAAGCCAGGGAATAAAACTATGTTTTTAAACGCGATTTAAAAGCGTGGAGGGTGGGCGCAGCTTTAATGTGCGGAGGTCATTCCACAATTTGGGGGCAACTGCTGAAAAAGAGCGGTTGCCTCTGGTCTTCAGCCTGGTCCTGGGCACGTTCAGCCGCAGCTGATCAGCAGACCTCAGTGACCTTGAAGGGGTGTAAGTGTGCAAGAGCTCAGAGATGTACTGAGGTGCCAACCCATTTAGTGACTTAAAAACAAACATTAAAATCTTAAAATTTATTCTAAAATGTACAGGGAGCCAGTGGAGCGAGGCCAAGATGGGAGTAATGTGCTCGTGTTTCCGGGTTCCTGTTAACAGGCGAGAAGCTCTATTTTGGACTAACTGTAGACGTGAAAGGGAGGTTTGGTTCACGCCAATGTAAAGTGTATTACAGTAGTCCAAATGGGTCGAAATAAAAGCATGAATCACGTGCTCAAAAAGATCAAAAGATAAAACAGGTTTAATTTTAGATAAAAGCCTCAAATGATAAAAATTGGATTTAACCACTGTGTTTATCTGCTTGTCAGGTTTAAAATCACAATTTAAAAACCTAAATTGGTGACTACTGGCTTTACGTATTGCTGCAGGGAACTGAGGTTTACGGGAGTGGAATCACAAACCCGGCTGGGTCCGAACACAATAACCTCAGTTTTTTCTTCGTTTAAATGTAAAAAATTAAAAGACATCCAGGCGTTAATATCCTTGAGACATTCAAGTAAAGGAATCAGGGAACTGTTTTCATTTATTCTCAGGGGTAAGTAGATTTGCGAGTCATCCGCATAAAGATGGTATGAAATACCATGTTTTTAAAAAATGTTTCCAAGAGGGAGAAGGTACAAGGAGAACAGTAGTGGTCCAAGAACTGAGCCTTGAGGAACTCCACAGAGAAGTGGGGCGGTAGATGATGTAGAGTCACCAAGTTTTACAGAAATAAAGCAGTCAGATAAATATGATCTGAACCACTGCAGGGCAGTATCTCGGATGCCTACACAGTGCTCTAGGCAAGAGATAAGAATGGCGTGATCAATTGTGTCAAACGCAGCAGTGAGGTCTAAAAGCACAAGAATAGCAGAATCCCCACAGTCTGTAGTTAGTAAAAGATCATTAAAAACTCTTAAAACTGCAGTCTCTGTACTATGTAAAGCTTTAAAACCAGATTTCTAAATTTCTAAAATACCATTTGTATTTAAAAAGAAAAAAACAGTTTTTGCACAACTAAAATCCTAAGATTTTAGAAATAAAAGGAAGCTTTGATATTGGTCTGTAGTTAGCTAAAATGGTAGGGTCTAAATTTTGCTTTTTAATTAGAGGTACAACAGTTGCTTCTTTGCAATAAGCTGGGACAATTTCTGAAGACAGACTGCTGTTAATAATTTTTTGGACACTTGGCCCTATAGTGGTCCAGACCTCCTTAAAAAGGCGAGTGGGGACAATGTCCGTGGGACATACTGAGGGTTTGAGCTGTGAAATTATTTTATTGAGGCAAGGAAGCGACATAGGCTCAAACTGATCAAACACTGTTAAACAGGTCAACATTTCAAAGGGGTCGGATACAGGTGGGGAGATATGAGCTCTAATGAAGGCAATCTTGTCTTAAAAATAATGTAAAAAATTCTCACAGACTTCCGAAGAAGCTTCCAAACAAGAGGATTGGGGTAAATTTAAAATAGAATCAATGCTTTTAAAAAGGACACGTGGTTTGGTTATATTTTGGACAATTTTTTTCTTTTAAATATCTAGTTTTTTCAGCTTTTACTATTTTTTGATACATCCTCCAGCTTTCCTTTAAAATATCATGAGAGACATGAAGCTTATCTTTCTTCCACCGACGCTCTGCTCTCCTGCACTCTCTCCTTGCTGCACGGGTAGTGTCATTAAACCATGGCTCAGATTTAGGTCGGGCGCGCAAAACTTTTAGAGGAGAAACAATGTCAAGGATGCTGGCACATGTGGAGAGAAAGGAAGAAGTTAATTTCTCTGTGTCAGCTACGAGACCAGTGTCAGACTGAGATGACATTTGAAAAAAACAAGAAAATTGAGCAGCAGTGGTCGGCTTAAACACACGGCCTAAGCGTGCAGGGGCAGTTAGTTTAGATTTAAGATAAGACAAGTTAAAATCAAATAAAACCGGCATGTGATCGAAAAATACAGCATCCTGTGTCTGGATATTTAAAATGGGCAAACCATAAGATAACACATGATCTAACATGTGCCCCTGCTCCTGTGTGGGTCCACTGACATATTGTAAAAAGTTAAAAGCATCAATCATATCTAAAAAATCTTTAGTGAGTGGTTTTGAAAGACAACAGACATGTACGTTAAAATCACCAACAATTAAAACTCTGTCATAATCTGTCATAATACTGGCCAAGAAGTCGGAAAACTCTTTTATAAAATGTTTGTTGTATTTCGGCGGGCGATACATTACCACACACAGTACAGGATCCAACCGGCCTAAGACAAACAAGCTCAGTTCAAATGATGAAAAAACAGATGGTGCCAAAAGCTTACAATGTAAGCTACTCTTCAAGACAGTGGCTATTCCTCCACCACGTCCAGTGGTCCTTGGGCAATTAAAAAAAGTACAGTCAGGAGGTAAGAGCTCTGTGAAGGCATCTGACTCACCCACGGCAATCCATGTTTCTGTTAAAAACAGTACACCCACAGCCTGTGTGATGAAGAAGTCCTTAAGGATGAAAGTTTTGTTCATTACCGACCTTGCATTTATCAGTGCACATTTGGTCGGTAAAGTCAAAATGTCAGCCGCGGGTGCTGACCGGCACAGCGGCCGAAGGTTGCTGTAATTCCTTCCGCCAGAACTTCGGAAACGAGGCGCGCAGGTGCGCAAACCATGTCGCTCCTCGTACGGGCCTACAACAGGTATCAACCAGCTGCTAGTTGGAGCAAGGCCGCGACGAGTGACAAGGCGTTGAAAAAAACAGTGACATTCCAGTGTCACCGGCAAAAACTCAGAAGGTGATGCCAGCCATGCCTTAATCCGGACTAGCCAGCCGCTACGCCTTCCTCTGCGTCTGCGTCTCCGGGGAGGTGGACCCTCGGTGCAGATCAGATGAGCTGGTACATCCGCGAAGAGTGGAGGAGGAAGTGATTTTGATCCACCCTGGGAGTGAAAAACGGCACAGACGACCTCTGTATATCTGGCGAATGCGATGCAAAATTCAGAAAATGACAAAATTCGGGATGATGTGTTGTTTGTATTTTTTAGAGTGACTGAGAAGTCGCCGCAATCGATCTGGCGATTTGAATCGGATGGGGGAAGCAGAGAAAGGAGAGATGATAGAGATGTCAATATCCGCACCTGATAGAATCTGCGCTCGGACTGGCAACAGGGGGTGGTTACAAAGCCATGGCGTTTGGAGGTATGTGCATCTGATTTGCTGTAAACAGAGAAAATTGTGATTTTGCCTGAGGAAGCGTGTTTTGGGGGAGACAATCCGGGGCCGACGTGGAAAACAGAGGTGGTCTTGCGTTTGCGACGGCCCCTGGAGCTTGGAAAGCGACCGGGTAGGAAAGAGAAAGCTGAGGTGGAAAATATGGCGACTGGGCCTGCGCCGCTAGAGGAGGCATCCTCACGCTAGGGTCTGCTAAAGGCCACGGCTGGGAAAAAGGGTTAGTGGTAGCCGGAGGACAAGGGAGAGTTGTGCGTGCCCACGATTCTAGCGGAGGCAACCTCACGCCAGGAGCCGCGGGCCACGAATGGTGGAGAGAATTTGGAATGGTAACGACAGGTTGCGCCTGCCCCGCTAGCGGAGGCAACCTCACGCTAGAGGGAAGATGGTCACTGTTAGTGACCGGTAATGAGTGATGCTGAGTAGAAGGCGGAGAGGGTAGCAATCTAACGGCGGCGGAATCTGGGGCCCGTCCCAGTCTCGCTGAAGGCGCGCTGCCCCTACCTGATGATCGACGGTGGTCCGGTCTCGCTGTGGAGGAATTCTGGATTTGGGATGTACGTGGTGTTTTACCTTTGTTGGTTTTGTTTGTCGCTTTATTGGAGACCTTAGAGGGAGATGAGGGTTTAGAGGGTGTGCACGTTGACTGTATTCATCCATCTGGTGTAATGGACGTCTGCGTTGGTCAAAGCTTGCCTTAGACCTAACACCGTCCATTTCCCGATTGCAGGAATGGTTGGCTGGGCCAGTGAGTAGGAGGATGATGATGATGAGGACGAGGAAGAAGGTGTGCGTCTCGTTGGTGGAGGTGAGCGCTGTCTTTGTCGTTCTGGAATATGGATAGCGGCACGGATTGGCTGGCGACCACGCACTCAAGCTGGAGACTCGGCGACGGCACCTCGTGGTGAAATGGCGCTCTTTGGAGTGGCTGGAATTGAGGCAGAGTCCTGAGAGAAGAGAGTTTCGTCATCGGACGGAAAGAGTTCAATCTCTGACATGGCGGCTGTTTAGGCGAACCTGTCCTGAAGACTGTAGAACATCCTTAGGTGAGTTTGACTGTGCTTATATATGGTTTGCGTTCGTGCTGATTTGGTAGATATGTTGATTACTGATTGAAGACAGCTGGTGATACTAGAGTATTTGTTGATTACTGATTGTAGACAGCTGATGATACTAGAGTATTTGTGGTTACTGATTGCAGGTGGCACTAGAGTAGCTCATTTGACGTGTTCCTCCCAAACTACGTTAATAAAACATAATTTGTTGGATAATGCCGGTATTGTATCTGATTTCAGGTATTACTATCCTTGTATCCAAATGTAGCGTGTAGTTCTATGTTTGTTTAATTTCATTGGCCCTCATTTAATAAACGAACAGATATTTGGTCGTTTCCATACAAAAACTTGGCATTTATCAATATGGACGAGAACGGTGGCTACGGTCAAACCTCACGTCAGGTTTCAGCTTGTGCTACATTTTTGAGTTATTATTGAATTAACATTAAAAGGTGCCTTAACTAGACCACAATATCATAGAAGCTTGGGGCAGTAAGCAGTAGAGCCCGACCGATAAAGGATTTTGAAGGCCGATACCGATACAAATATTTGTTGGTTTTAAAATCCGATATTCCGATATATCGGCAGATATTTCTTCTTTTTTTTTTTTTTTTTTTTTTTTTTTTTGAAACGCGCAACAAAACATTAACAGATTTCCCTAACATTAGTTATTTGTAGTTATTTATGAGTTTTAACTAAAATAATATGATAATGCATTTTAAAAAGAAACGTCCTCGGGTTACGACTGTAACCCTTGTTCCCTGAGAAGGGAACGAGAACTGCGTCGAATGACACTTTGGGGGAACGCCCCTCAGCGTAGCGCCTCTGAAGTATGAATGAAACTGAAACTGATCTCTGATTGGTGCAACGTCATGACGTAATGTGTGACGGCAGATAGGCGGAAGCTATAAAAGCAGCCGGCACACATAAGATGTCAGCTTCTGTGATGAAGCAAGCGCTCCCAGGCAGGGGAAGGCATGGCCAAGGGACGCAGTTCTCGTTCCCTTCTCAGGGAACAAGGGTTACAGTCGTAACCCGAGGACGTTCCCTTTCGAGGGAACTCCAACTGCGTCGAATGACACTTTGGGGGAACGAGTACCCACTACGCCACAACGCGCCCTGCCTGCCCTAGTGTGAAGCTGCTCACAGGCACACTTAGGACGCGAGCACAAGAGAGCCGGGTGTAGACGGAATGTCCAAACTATAAAACCTAATAAAGGTATGAGGGTTAGCCCATCCTGCTGCATCGCAGACCTCCTGGATGGGGGCCCCCGCGAGAAGGGCTCTAGAGGACGCCATGCCTCTGGTAGAATGAGCCCTCACGGCCAAAGGTGAAGGCATACCGCGCACCTGATAGGCCGTGGAAATCGCTTGGACAATCCAGTTGCTGATGGTCTGCTTTGAGGCGGGAAGCCCCTTTCTGGGCGACCCGAAACACACCAGCAACTGGTCCGACTTCCGCCATGAAGAGGACCTCTGAATGTAAATACTCAGTGCTCTGACAGGGCAGAGCATGTGAAGTCTCTCTTCATTCGCCGTCACGTGAGGTGGAGGATGAAAAGCCTGCAGAACCGTAGGCCGTGCCGCACTGGACGGCACCTTAGGCAAATAGCCGGGCCTAGGGTGAAGAATGGCCTTAATGTTGCCTGGAGCAAACTCCAGGCACTCGTGAGATATGGAGAGCGCCTGGAGATCTCCTTCCACCTTCAACGAAAGGTTCTTGGCCTCAGCCGACTCCAGCGGCTCGAAGGGGGCCTCGGCCAGCCCTTCGAGAACCACTGCCAGGTCCCAAGTGGGAACCCTGGTACGAGCCGCAGGTCTCATCCTCCAAGCCCCACGGAGGAAACGTACGACCAATTGGTGTCTCCCCAGAGGCCCATCACTCAGAGGAGCGTGGAAAGCCGCAATGGCAGCCACGTACACCTTGAGTGTGGACGGGGTAATACCAGTGGAAAAGCGATCTTGGAGGAACTCCAGCACTGAAGCCACTGGGCAGTTAACTGGGTCCACCTCACGCTCCCTACACCAAACGGTGAAGACGTTCCACTTTAGGCCGTACAATTTCCTCGTGGATGGAGCTCTAGAGCTGAGTATGGTCTCCACTACTCCAGCTGATAGGCCGGCCTCTAGGTACTGTGCCCCCTCAGGGGCCAGACCCACAGTTTTCATAACTCGGGCCGAGGGTGAAATATTGAGCCCTCTGCCTGTGTCAGCAGGTCCCTCCTGATGGGAATCTCCCATGGAGGGCCGTCCAGGAGCAAAATTATGTCGGAGAACCATACTCGGGCCGGCCACAACGGGGCTACCAACAGTAGACTGATCCCGTCGCGACGGACTCTCTCTAGAACTCCCGGGAGCAGAGCGATCGGGGGAAATGTGTACAGACGTAGCCTCGGCCACGTCTGCACCATGGCATCCAACCCCAGCGGGGCTGGATGGGTGAGGGAAAACCACAGTGGACAGTGGGTCGTCTCTCGAGACGCGAACTAGTCCACTTCCACTGGGCCGAACCTCTGAGATATTGACTCCACCACCTCGGGGTGGAGTCTCCACTCCCCGGGCCTCAGCCCCTGTCTCGACAGGATGTCTGCTCCCTGATTTTGACTCCCCGGGATGAATGTTGCTTTTAGAGACAACAACTTCCCCTGGGACCACAGGAGGATCTGATGCGCCAGTCTGCATAGAGGGCGAGATCTCAGACCCCCCTGATGGTTTATATAGGCCACTACCGACATATTGTCTGACCTCACAAGGACATGATGACCTTTGAGGTCCGTCAGGAAACTCCTCAGAGCTCGGAACACCGCCAACATCTCCAGGCAGTTTATGTGCCAGGAGGCATGATGGTCCTGCCATAGGCCTGTCGTAAAGCGGCCGTCCATGACCGCGCCCCAGCCCGTGAGGGAGGCGTCTGTCGAAACGGTTCTCCGGCGACATGACGCTCCCAACACTGGCCCTTGGGACAGAAACCAAGCTTTCTTCCACATAGATAGGGAACGAAGGCATCTGCGCGTAACCCTGATCATGCGGAACGGGTTTCCCCTCGGGGAGAACCCCTTGGTTTTTAACCACCACTGAAGGGCCCTCATGTGCAGCAGGCCGAATGGAATGACACTGGACGCTGCTGCCATGAGCCCCAACACTCTCTGGAAGTGCTTCACAGTGATGGCTTGGCCTAGCCTTATCCTGGACACTGTGGTCAGGATGGACTCGATCCGCGCGGGAGACAATTGTGCCCGCATCGTGACCGAGTCCCACACCACTCCCAGGAACGTAGTTCTCTGGGCTGGTGTCAACACGCTCTTTTTCATGTTGAGTCTCAACCCCAGGCTCTGGATGTGGGCGAGGACGACATCTCGATGCCGAACCGCCAGCTCCTGTGACTGTGCTAAAATCAGCCAGTCGTCGATATAATTGAGCACCCTGATGCCCTGAAGCCTCAGCGGTGCCAGAGCTGCATCCATACATTTGGTAAATGTGCGAGGGGAGAGAGCTAGGCCGAACGGAAGAACCCGCGCTGGTACGCTTCGCCCCGAAAGCGAACCTCAGGAACTTCCTGTGAGATGGAAGGATGGATATGTGGAAGTATGCGTCCTTTAGATCTATCGTGACAAACCAATCCTCGGACTGAATTTGACTCACGATAATGGGAATAGTGAGCATCTTGAACCTGAATCTCCTCAGAGAACGGTTCAGGTGCCTGAGATCTATTATTGGACGCAACCCCCCATCCTTCTTGGGAACTATGAAGTAGCGGCTGTAAAACCCGGACTCCCTGTCCGGTGGAGGAATACGATCTATAGCCTCCTTTGCCAGCAGGGAGTTTACTTCCTGTTCCAATACCCGACCCTGCACTGGGTCGACTACAGTCCAGACCACCCCGTTGAATCTGGGTGGGCGGGAACTGAACTGCAGCCTGTACCCATTTTGAATGGTGCGCAGGGCCCAAGGAGAAATATTCGCCAGATTTTTCCATGCATCGAAATATTTTACCAAGGGAACCAGGCTCTCGAGCCTGGCTTCGGGTATTAATCGGGATTCGTTCTCGGCCCCCTGAAGCGGATTCCTGGCAGGGCTAAACCGAAAACGATTCTCGATGGGCGGACGCGAATGCTGCCTGACCGCAAGCCTGTGGGGCGGACAGTGCAGCCTGCGTTCGCTGGATACCGATTTGTCCCAAAGCGTGTTCAACGGCGGGAGAGCAACATCGATTTCCTGCGGGCTCCGTGAAGGAGACGACCTCGGTCGTCCTAGCTAGGATCTCTTTGACGAAGCCTTTTTAGCCTGCAGGACGGCCCTCAGGTCGCCCTGCTTAGGCTGAGGCTTCGCCTAGGAGATCCTAGCTAGGACGACCGAGGTCGTCTCCTTCACGGAGCCCGCAGGAAATCGATGTTGCTCTCCCGCCGCTCAAGGAGCTTAGGCCAAGCTCCTTGAGGGGGGGCTCTAGACGCGACGCTCTGTTTTTGAGCCTGTCTATAGGCGGAGGAGCTGGCTGATGGCTGTGGCTGCGGCTGCCCACTGGGGGCAGACTTCTTGGACACTGAGCGGCGAGGGAGATATTGTTTGAAGGCCGCTGATTGTCTTTTCGCCTCCTGAAACCTGTCGACGACGGTTTTAACGGCGTCGCCGAACAGGCCAGAAGGCGAAATCGGGGCATCAAGGAGGAAAGCCCTGTCTTTCTCCCTGATGCCCGTAAGATTTAACCATAAATGCCTCTCCGAGACCACCATAGCTGCCATGGAGCGACCGACAGCGCGGGCCGTCTCCTTGGTGACTCGGAGAGACAAATCAGCGACCTTCCTCAACTCCGCAATATCTTCCGGAGTTGGACCCTCGCCCTCATCAATGTCCTTACAAAGGTCGGCCTGGTACGCCTGGAGCATAGCCATGGTGTGAAGACTCGCACCAGCCCGACCCGCAGCCATATAAGCCCTGCCCACTAGCGCTGATGTGTCTCTACACGGCTTAGTGGGCAGCACCGGGGCTTTAAGGGATGATGCCGACTCAGGCGATAAATAATTCGCCAAAGGCTGTTCAACGCGCGGCATCATCCCATAACCGTTCTCTCGTGCCCCCATGATGTTACTATAATTTATAATAGGGGGATTGGAGACACGAGAAGAGTGTGGTTTTTTCCACGATCTACACAACTCGTTGTGCAGATCGGGAAAGAACGGCAAGCCCCGGTGATGAGGTTGTTCCCTGTGCTGCAGGAAGCGCTCATCCAGTTTACTTTTAGTCTGCGCTTCCTGCCTCTCTTGTGGCCAGCTGATATTTAAATGAGCCACCGCACGGGAAACAACCTCAACCAGCTCCTCATACGCGGGGACACGGGGCGGCGAGTCGTCCCCGAAATCCCCGCCCTCGATGCTGAGCACGTCAACCTCCTCAGAGACAGACAGCTCAAACATCGGATCCTCGACTCGCGCAGAAGAAGCCGCGGGGCGGGCTTCTGCGCGAGGCTCGAGGACATCAGAACTGCCCGATGAATCCCGAGAAGGTGCCTCAGCAGCCTCGAGATCCCCGGACAGATCTCTTTGCGAGCCCCATGAAGAGCGTCGCCGCGCCGCCTCAGCGGACGCGGGTCCCGCACCACGAGGCTCGCGAGGCTGACCATCTTCATCAAAGATAGCCAGCAGGAAACGCAGCACACGGATTGTCAACTTTTCACAATCCTCGCAAGCAGCCCCCTCGAGAGCTGCCTGCGCGTGCTGCATTCCCAAACAATGTGTGCACAGTTGGTGTGTGTCCCCGCCCGTGATGTAGCGAGGGCAAGGATGCACACACTTCCTGAAGCTCACACTCGCCATTTCACTCATTCAGTCACAGACAACAATAAATAAGACAAACAGTCACAGATAGCGCTTGCTGAAGAACAGAAAGCTGACATCTTATGTGTGCCGGCTGCTTTTATAGCTTCCGCCTATCTGCCGTCACACATTACCTCATGACGTTGCACCAATCAGAGATCGGCTCAGTTTCATTCATACTTCAGAGGCGCTACGCTGAGGGGCGTTCCCCCAAAGTGTCATTCGACGCAGTTGGAGTTCCCTCGAAAGGGAACTTGTTTCTTTTATTGTCACAACTGAACAGAGGAACATCAAAATATATTAAAGTTCTGATAAATAAAATGTATAAAAATACAAACTTAAGATATGAAACGTAAAGTCCTTTGAACAAAAACACAAAAACAACAACAACCAAATCAAAGTTACCAGTATTAAAAGACTTGGTAAGCTTCATAAATATAACTTTGAACTATACTACTTATAAATTGCTAACAGTATATATGAGGTAGTGTACTGAAGTGGTTGAAGTGAGTTGCAATTTTCTTCAGCCTTGCCAGAATGTCCACCACCACTCTCTGGGAACTGAGGCCATCATTGATAGCTAGGTGCAGTATGTGAGCACTGCAGCTCAGGTCTGGCATCTCAACAAGGCGCATGCCTTTCACCATATTTGCCCCACTGTCCCTGAGTACAAGCATGACCCGCTCCTCATCAATTTCCCATTCTTCAAGCATGGACAGAAATGTCTCTCCAATGTACTGTCCTGTGTGGGACTGTGAGAAGGATTTCACGTCCAAGACAAGTTGGACCTTTTTCCAATTCTTGTCAATGAAATGAGCAGTCAGGCTCATGAGTGCCTCATTTGACCCTGACCAACAGTCGGTGGTAAAAGAAATGCTGTTTCCTGCATTTTCAACTGACAGCAGTTTCTTTATTTTGTTTACAACTCCCGTGTAAATCTCATTATTATTGACAGTAATAATTACAAAAAATAATGATGACATTATTACTATCATCATCATTTATATTGTCATTAAACAAGATAAAGGTCATTCCTAAATGTTTGTGTGCGTGTGTAATAATTAGTCTCTACATTGCCTTATAAGCTACCTTATAATTACAATGTCAGCTTGCTTATCCCTTTACCTGCACTTTTTAAATTGTTTTCTTTCCATCAAGCTACATCAAACCATTTTCAATCATCAGTTGCTGCCTGCCTTCTAAAACCTACTATTTAGCGATTCTAGCGATTGGTTGTGTTGCGAAAGACACGCAAGCTCGCTTACCTCTCTGCCGTCGTGCGCGTGCGCGGTTAGGAGCGCGCCGTTAGGAGCTCAACACATCTGTCTCGCATGCACGCTCGCTATAGATTACAGGATATTTTAACTAATTTGCGGTAAAACTAGTCGATCACGAATGGCTCAACTGGTAGATCTATAGATAAACTTATCTTTCAGGCATTTGACTGACCGGGTTGACACTTCAGCGTGAGAAATCGGGGGTGTGGCGTGAGGGTGAACGTGATTTCACCAAGTACCACATGTTCCTGGATCAACAACTTTGTTGATCCTGGATCAACTTTCCGATCAACCAATCAGATTTGAGGGAAAGGTTTACAGTTTATGTCAAGTTTAGGCTTAGAACCAGGGTGAAGTACTTAAACATCAGTGTTATTCACCTATAATTATCCTCTGATTTTAGGGAAAGGTTATGGGTAGGGTTAGGTTTAGGGGTAGGGATTGGGTAAGGACTACATTTTGGGACAGGAATGTTGATCAGGGATCAACAAAATATGTTGATCCAGGACCATGTCTTAATTGGCAAAATCACGGTGGCCGTGGCGTGAGAGCGTGAGAATTGGCTCAATTGCGTGAGTCTCACGCTGAATGCGTGAGAGTTGGCAGCCCTGCCTGATGATAGTGGCATTAGCTAGCTTTATGGTCAGCTAGTCTATGATGAGCCATAATTTAGCAATGGATAACGTCATACTGCAAATTGTAAAACATACATTTTCAATATAACCGGCCAAGGAGAGATGATACGTCTCATTGCTATAACTGCCACGCGCTATTAAAGAAATACTTCAGTCACATTGTCAAAAGTTAAAAGGACAGTCAGTCAACTACACTGTAACAACGTAACGTAATTATTACTAGCTAATTCCGCTTCACGCTCGGCTTATTTAACAGCAGCAAAACTGGACATGATAGTCACTAGTAGTGGGAAGTACGGATCATTTTACTGACTCGGATCTTTGAGTCTCGTTCAGCAAAATGAACGAATCTTTTTTCGAGTCATTTTGTTCATTTCGTTCATTTCAGCATAATATAATTAAAATGGCATGTTAAATATCCCAACACATCTAGTAGGCTACTTACGAAAATGTTGATTACATTTGTAAAAAGAATAAAAATAAACTATAGGGTAATGCAGCCAAAGCCAAATTATAAGAAACCGAAATTTTTATTAATTGATTAGTGGGTCTTAAGTTCAGGCTATTGCAGTCTGATTCTGTTAGTTCACCTCACCTCCTGATCCGAAACATTCTTTCCTTTGCAACTTCATATTTATCAGGTGTGTTCTCCTCCTCTCGTGTCTCGAGACGTCAGTTGTCGACTCGTCAGTGTCTGACTCTGATCTGTCTGCTGGGCCATGCCGTGTGTGATACAGCAGGGCCGGAAAGAGAAATGATTAGTTCATCTTTCGAGTCTCGAGTTCGGGTTCGACCGGGTCCGAGTCTTTCGCTCTTCCTGTCAGTCCCATAGATGCTATGCTGTCAGTCCCGGAAAGAGTAATGATTAGATCATTTTCTTCGCTGTTATCTCGCATCAAATACAACATTAGATTCGTATGATTGACTGCGTCTGAATGTATCTAGGTTTATATTTAGGAATTAAAATACAAAATATGTGAAATAAACATTATCTGAAAAATAAAGTTCCATCTTATTATTGTCCCTGTCCGTCTCTTTTCTAAATGTTTCTTGTGCATCTGTGGTGTGTTTTATTATATATTATACATTAATTAACTACTATAATATTATACATTAACTACGTGCTTGTTTGTAAAAAGGTTGTGAATTAGTAGACTATTCAATACGGGGACAAGTCACGTGACAAAAGAACGAAGGACTCAAACCCGAAGACTCAGAAAATGAACTAATCATTTCTCTTTCCGGTACTGACAGCATAGTCTCTATGGGACTGACAGGAAGAACGAAAGACTCGGACCCGTCCCGAACCCGAAGACTCGAGAGAGATGAACTAATCATTTCCAGTACAGATTCAGATACTATGTTGCGCAATGCGCATGTGCGGTCAACCCAAAATGAACGAATCACTCTCTGAGGGTGTATTCACACCAGGAAAGTCCGGTAGTTCACTTGCTTTGGTCCGGACCAAATAATTTTTTTTTTTTTTTTTTGGTACGGTTCGCTTTCACACTGCTCTTTTTGCAAGTGAACCAAAATATGTAAACAAAACCACACATGTGCTAAGGTCGTCCATTCATTGGACAAGGATTCTCAAGTAGGGAAATCAGGAAGTGTAAAAAAGGCTCAGCATGGAGATATTTCGTACTGCATTATTTGTTATTTTACTAATTTTGTGTTATTCTGTACAAACGCAATATGAAGAAACTGCGCAGAAGACGGATAAGGTATAAAGTTTTCATTCATAGAGAGGGGCTATGTTCACACATTCAAATAATGAGATTCTTATTGTATACTGCTAACAAGTGCTGTCAATGTTAACGCTTGCGATTAAGTTTGTCCAGTTTAACGCAGCATCATCCTTGTATTGTAACTATCGTTACATTATATGAACTGCAAAAGCTGCAAAAATCTATGCGCGATTAGACTAAAGAGAACGCTCTGTATGTGAATGTCCTGATGCACACCCTCATTCATTCATTCCATTCCAATGATGCACACACACAACGCGCAGAAAGACGCGCAACAGTATCGTGTGGCCAGACAGCGCGCCGGAATGGAATTCTCTTTCGCACTTGAACAACAATAACCATTATGCCAAAATCTCCGACTACAGAAGCCTGTTAACTCAAAGGCGCAGTGCTTTCTTGCAATTGGGTCGGTTCATGTTCACACCGTAAACGAACCGTACCAGAGTTCGTTTGGAACCGTACCGAGACCACCTCTTCAGCTGGGTCTCGGTTCGGTTGTTTGGTCCGCACCCGAGTTCGATTGCTGTATTCACACCTGCCCTAAAGGTCCGCACCAGGGGGGGAAACGAACTAGAGTTCGATTCAATCGAACCAAACAAGGCAGGTGTGAATACACCCTGAGACAACTCGGTAGTCCCGAGTCATATTAAAGATTCGTTAAAAATGAACGAATCGTTCATGAACGACACATCACTAATAGTCACAAATTTTGTCATGTTTATTTGAGTTAAGAGAACTGATGGGGATGTTCTTTTAATTGTTATTCAAGCAATGTATGTCTCGTGACCAACTCACCATGAACACCGATGATCTCACTCGCAGATAACTGGTTCTCTCTGCCCGACTCTGGCTCAGCAGGTTGCAGGATGTGTGGCGCGTTATACACGAGTGTTGCCAACAGGGACGGTGTAGAGTGCCCTCTGGTGGACAAACTCCAACTCCAACACTCATGACATGGTTGAAGGGTGTTTCGTCCGTTTTTATTTTATTTTTGAAATATTCATTTATCGCCCATTATAAACGCCGATAAATACCGATAGTTTGAAAAATGCCTAATATCGGCCTGCCGATAAATCGGTCGGGCTCTAGTAAGCAGCCACCTAAAACACCCTAGAGCAACTGCATAGAAACCCCATTGCTTTACATGGAGAAGCTCCAGGCATATTTGTAAAATCTGTTGTAGTGGACCATCTGTAAGTGGATATGTAAATCACTCCACCTCAGAAACCTTTAAATCACTGAATGTGATTATAAAGCACAGAACATATTTTTAGATATTGCAACAGATAATGGTCTAAACTTCTGTAAACTCAGTCATCTTAACATGCCTTAGACAAGGAGCCAGTTCCACTCTTCAGTCCCTTGTAGGAAATTATGCATAATTGGATCATAGAATTATACAAAATGCCAATGGATCATCCTTTATATCAAATTAGTGTAAATAGCATCTGCATGGTTTTCACAGCCAGAGATCTTCATAAACACATCAGATGCTATTTAATACGATATGAAGTATGGTCTCATCAGCAGTCAGTCTAAATGCTATTGTTCAGCAGACACAGAAGAGAGATTTGTCTGGAATTATTTTAATGGATGAGAACTGAGAAGAATGTCAGAGCCTTTGTGGTATTCTTCTTCTGATATTTAATGGATCGTTTGAAAATA